ATTAATAATAAATTAAATTAATTAATATAAATTACTTATTCGCCCGATTTAGTAGTGATCGGCGATTACTGCGCCACATGCTGCAGCTGCGCCATATGCTGCGCCACGTCTACTGCGCCACACGAATAAGCTAATTGGTTACAGTATATACTCTTTGTATATCTAACAGTTGAAAAGATACTATTAGAGAATTTAGTCAATGTACTAAATCTTTTATTTTAATTATAGTATTTGTTATTTTAGTTTTCATGATTATAATTTTGTTTTTATATTTTTATTTTATTTTATTTTTGCCTTGTGTTGATATAATACTTATAAGTATTGATACTAGAAAATCTTTATAAATAATTCAGTCTTTGTCCTCAAAACTTATTATAAATTATATTCATGATAAAACCTATCTTCTAGAGTATAATTTGTAATATTTGATACCCTCTCTATGAATCTCACCTATCCAGAGATTCTATTCAATTCATTTATATTATTTTCATTTATTATTCATTTTATTATTTTAAGAATTAGCTACTCTTAAAATATTGATTATCTAATTAATTAATTAGTTTATGAGTACATATTACTCTTTTATTAGACTTTTAATCAACCTATATTTCAGTAAATATGATAGAGAAGATCCTTGAAAATTCTCATTTCACATTGAACCATACAACTACTATTCTTACTGTTTTCCTGCCAACAAAAATTCAGATAAAAGATTTGTAAATTTTCTTATCTGAACTCAGAATTATCATGTAATCTTATATAATAAACTCTCACAGGAACTTTTTGATAATATAATTCAGCAAAATCTTATATCAAACCAACTTCAAAGAGAAATTATCAAGTTACTTAACATCTTCATATTTGGAATTAAAATCATAATTGAATAACAAAACTACCTAGTTAATAGTATTCTTTTTATTCTTAAAAAGACAGACAACTTTGAAACTTCCTTAATCAATCAGCTAACAGAATTAGAATACAAAAGTAGTAGTTTAGAAGATCCAGAAGAATTAACAGTCATAATTGAACAAATTCAATCTCAAAAGTCCCAATCAAAGAAGAAAATAACCATGTCAGACAGAATGAATAATCTCATTCAAGCTCTTGAAAAACTTACTCAATCTATGAAGATTCAAAGAATAGAAAAGATTCTTATTCCAATTCATAAATTTAAGAATAATGATCAAGATCCAGTAAAATAGTTACATGACTTCAAAGTAGTCACAAAAGCTAATGGAATTACCAATGAAAGAAAAATCAAGATAGTAAGAGAATACCTAGAGGGACCAGCTGCTATCTGATTTGATCAATGAGTCATAAATAATAATTTCAAATTAAATGACTAGGAAAATGAAGAGCATGATGATCATGACTTTGCTCATTAATTTATTCTTAAATTCTATTCAACTTGTAAGATGCAATAATAACAAAATAAATTGGAATCCCTAAAGCAAACTGGAACTGTAGAAAAATATACAAATTGATTTATGGAACTAGGAAGTAAAGTGAACTCAAAGAGTGAATATCCAAAAGAATATAAGATTCAAATTTTCAAGAAAGAACTCAAATCAGAAATTCAAAAATAGGTTAACCTAAATGCTAAAGATAATATGAAAAGTATTATTAAAATTGCCAAAAATGTAAAAGAAGCTGATTCAAATCTACTCAAACAAACTTATTATCAAACTCAAGCTTAACCTATTGGTAAATGAAGTGCTCTAGCCAAGATCTTGCAAGATCTAACCAGTAGGTTAGATCATGTAGAATCTGGCAGAAGGTATAATAATAATAATCAGTAACAAAATCAGCCAAGAGACAGATCACCTATTATCTGTTATAATTATAAAGGAAAAGAACATGTCAGTAGAGTTTGTCTAAATAACTCTCAATCAGTAAATTAGCCATTTAATAATCAGAATGTCTTTCAAAACTGGAACAATCAAAATCAGAATAATAATAATAATAATAATAATTAGCAGAATTAGAACATCTGAAATAATAATCAGCAACCCAATAATTCATAAAATCTGGATACTACTTCTCTTCTTGCCTAAATTCAGAATTTAATAGCTACTTTGCAAGTATTTGATAATGATCTATCTAGTAATTCATCCATCCAATTTAGTTTTTCATTATTAGTAACTTATAATTATCTTGCTAGAAAAAGAAAATATCAAAGAACTATCAAAGAAAAAGAAGAAAGTGAAAAAGAAAATGAAGTTACTCAATCTCTATCAGAAGTACCTGAAAAAGATAAGACTAACTTGGAAAAGAAGAAATAAAAGAAAGAAAGAGCTCATCTTCTAATTCTTACAAAGAAAGCAGAAATTTATGATATACTTAAAGATTTGGCATTCCAAAAAGCCAATATTACCATTGCATAACTTATCAAGATCTCACCTAAATAATGAATTCAAATGTCAAAAAAAATAAGAAAGAAATCACAGAAGAAACTCAAACAAAAAATAATATTCATCCAGAAGATCAAAACAATCTCAGCCTGATGTAAAGTCAAAGTTGAAAAGACTCCTGTAAACTTGATTATGAATATTGAAGCATCAGGATGTATTATCAGTTATGAATTTCTCAAATGATTAGGAATGAAGATTCAATAAAAATTCAATATCTTCATGTCTGATATTTATAAATATTTCAAGTAATCATTAGGAGCTATTGATAACTTTTCTATCATCATTGATAGAATCATAATTCTAACTAAAGTGAATATTACTGAAGCCCAAACTTATAGTCTTGTAGTAGATATGAATTGGTTAAATAAAATTAATGCTAAAATTGACCTAAAAAAAATATAATAATCTTTGATTGGAATAGAGAAGAAGGAAGAATGTCAATTAAATTCATTCATGAATAATGAAATGTTATATCTAAAGACAATGATGATGATACAGAAATATCCTTCAGTGAAATCTCTGATAATATGTTTGAAATTAAAGATCAAAATCTAGAAGATTATAATTTTTTATGGTGAATATCTGATAAACTCTGAATTCAGATTCATACTTCATCTAAATGATTCAATGATGTAAATTTTGAAAAGATTTCCTACCTGATCATAAACTTGATTCCTAAAGTTAGAAATGTTAAAATTTTTGAAGAAGAAATACAAATCAAGAATATCATTCTCACCTAGGAAAAATACTCAAAATTAGAAAGAAGATTCCAGCAGATTCACTATCAAAGTTCTTAATGAACTTTTGACTGGAAAGATTCTGCAACAGAATATTAGTGTTATCACAAATTATCAACATCCAAACATAAATGTCCTTAATGCTTTGATAATTTAGTTATCTGAATTAATATCAAAATGAATACTCTGAATAATCTTTTAATAATTTTGCCTCAAAATGTAACTAAAGACTAATGATTAGAAGTAGAATATATCTGAGAATCAGAGAAGATACCAATTACAAGATTCTTTTCTAAAAGTGAAGTCCTATGAAAATTAAAACTAGAAAAAAGAATAATTAAATATTTATATTGTAAATACTTTATAAATAGTAAAACTATTTCAAAAGCAAGAGATAAAAATAAATCAGAAAAGCAATACTATTCTGATTACTTTACTTAATAACAACTCAATTTATCTACCTGTAACTATTGTGAACTTTAAGATGAAGCTAGATATTTTCTTGGAGTAACCTGGAGATATAATAAAGTCAAATATTTTTATGACTATACTAAGCAATGCATATACATATTTAATCATGATGATTGGCAAAAAAATAATGATACTATTCAAAAATTGAGAAGTGATGATAACTTGTTAAATATTTATCAATAATATAATAAAATTAGAAAAACAATACTTATCCAATATATTACTAAGTATAATAAAGAAGAAGAAATACAATATACTACCTATGATGAATCTGAAAAAGCATCAGTTTAAGAAATCTTTTTGGTCATCTATCAATAACTATCTTCTTTCCAAAGAAAACAACTAGCTCAATTGAAATATATTAATGTAAAGCTCTGTAATAAATATTTGATTTCTTATGATTCAGATACTTGTAAAGATTATGTACAATCTGAACAGGTTGAAGAATCACTGGAAGAAAAACATCCAGAACCAGAAAAAAAAGAGAAAGCTAAAGATAGTGACTATGATTCAATTGAAGAGATTCTAAATGAATATTATACAGTAACTGGAGATTATAAAGAAGAAGAATAACTCAAAGAATAGTTAGCAAATCTAATGATCAAAATCTATAATGATGATAATAAAGGAAAAATATCTGAATGCGCCTATAAATATGATGCAGGCTTTGATCTCAGATATCCTAGGACTTGGTAGTCCATGGATTTCAGCATAGTTTTCGAGAAACTTTTTCATGGCGGTAGCAACGGTTATATCAATAGTTATTTTGGTCTTTCATCGTGGCACTTTTTTACATTACCATGAACACGTGGTATTATACCATTTGTTGCCAGATGATTTCTAATGTTTTCGAAGTGCATACGGCCAATTCCTAACATATTGAGATACGTTTTCTAAAGCGGCGTATTGCGATCTCAGTAGTAAAACGTTCTCTTATTAATACGCGTTTTCTTTTTAATTCATCAGCTGGCAGTTATTTCTCCACCATTCATCACTTTCAGTTGGCCATTAAAAATATATCTTGCTTGGATCTGGACTTGAAACGCCTCATGTAATTCGGCAAACTTTTCTCTTAGAATCTTTTGAGCAACCACAATGGCAACCTATCTCCAAGAAACATATTGCTTTTTCGTATTCGGTGGAATCGTTATAATTATAATCCTTCATATACGGGTATATAATTTTATCATTTTATAATTTTTTCACCCCATAATTAACATAAATTATTACTCTATCTGTTAGTCTTATAATTGTTATTAATTCGGTTGTTGAAAAAGATTTGGTATTGTGTTCATTGACTAGGTCCTGATTAATATCATTACTTGAAATTTACGCTAATTTGAAGCATTCAGTTTGTCATTCATACCTCTCTCAACTGACTTGTAATGGATTTAAGGCCAATTTATTACGTAAGAATGTCATTTTATGCAATCTAGTAGCTAACTTTACAAATTTAATTTGATAAGAATCTCTTCCTTTTGATGAGAATTCTATTTGGTATAGTAAAGTTTCTACATACTACTCTATTATGACTTTGCTTGTTTCTTACCTTTCCTACTCTGCTTGCGCTTCTTTGCAGTCAATGAACTTTCTTCTTGCTCATCACTGACTTATAACCTGTCATTGCGAATTATAACATGTTTGTCACTACGCGGAATAATATGTTTGAGTTGAGCACACAGGAAGAAATTACCTTTTCTTAGCACTCTCATAAGCACAAGGTAACATGTAATACAGAAAACGTCTGTCTTCTGGAGCGCAGAGTAGTGTTGCATCATTCCGTGCACAAAGAAGACTTTCAAGTATATTCCGGTATTCGGATTTAAAGGAACCTAGACCATGGACTAAGAGCTGATTATCACTACTCGAACTCTCAGCTGTTTTGGATGCGGATGATCGCGTAGTTGGTGGGCTATATTTAAATGAATTAAGCTCAGGGGTGTCTTTGTATGCTGCTCCTGCAAGAGAAATAGACAGCGTTTACTAAAATACTCTATGCTTCCTATAAAAATTGCTATTATATCAAATTTATGATCAAAGCTTTCTCACCAGTGTGAACATAAATGGCCAGATAATTATCCTTAATAATGTTAGCACAGTCCTCAGAGAAGGTAATCCTAGGCTCAAGCTGACATCCTGCTGCAAAGGTTTCTTCCGTTTGGTTCTGCTTAACTGCATAGTTCTTGACCTATATATTGCGTATTAGTTTTCTTTTTGTCTGAGGCGAAAATGTTCTGCAAAATTGTAATAACACTAACCTGTACTACCAATACTCCAAAACGTTCTTTATCCGCCTTATGTCTAATAACTAATCCAAGATTTGAGCCTTCTTAATTGTTCTTAAAATGCATAGCACCACGCCGATCCCAAATGCTTTTGAGTATTGATATGTTTGGTTTTTCTGTAAGTCCAATAAAGTGGGTAAATCCTACTTCAAAGTCTTTTAGGTAGGAAAATCTCTCCTTTGGAAGCTTTAGTTCAAAAAGCTCTTCAAGAAATTTGAGAACTGAACGTCTGACTGAGAACGAAACCTTGCAAGGCAAATGGACAAAAATAAGCCGATGCAAATAATGATCAGAATAAAAACGCTTGATACAAACCTTATTATTCTCCCTGTTTCTCTCTGAGCAGATCAACCGACGCTATGCACTCAAGAATAACAATCTCACAACCAGCTCCCCCTGGCTCCCTGCATCAAGGATTCCACTGGATTTGTTGACAGCATCCAGTTCCATTAGCACCCCAAGCTCTACACCATTCTCTGATAGCACCTCCAGTGCAGCTTCAGCCAATACAGACTCAGATGGGTAAGTTATCAGATGTTTCTTGCGATCATCATCAATGTGAATCAATGTTGCCATATGCGACTTGACGAGATCAGGTGCCAAGCTTGAGATTGGGGAGATATATAAAGTGGCAATGCAAGCAATTACAGCAAGTGATACTTTTCTTTTTATCTCAGTATTCTGGTCCCATTGATTCGTTCCCCCACGAAGCTTAAACTTGGCAAATTGTATAATATTGTTAAATTTTTCTTGGCTTGTCTCCCAGGACTCTGCTGATTGCCACCGAGAACCCCATAACGGTTTGCCAAACCGAATGATATCATGACCTGAACCATTCTCATTGAGTGAAATATCGGTACTACAAATCCCATTGATAATTGAGTGTGCAGTCACGGGCATAAATGATAAAAAGAAAGCTAACCTTAGGCAATCCATCGTGGCCAAGTAGATGAATGGTTTATGGACTTTACGGTTAGAGCCCCTTGCCTAAGAGATGTTATTATTGATGTCAATTTCAGTTATAGATTTGTCTTATTTTTGTAATTTATTAATTAAATAACACAATTAAGGGTTTCAGAAAGTGTTCGAAGCCAATTGTTAATACATGTTCAATCTGAGGTGCCAAGTTGGCAACCGAGGAATTTGTATCTGTCAAGAGACCGGTAATATAGGCTTTATATTTGAGTAGGGCACGCCGAACTGCTCTAAATGCCTGATTTTTTTCAGTAACAGTCTCTTGATTCTTTTTTTTAGCTACAAGATGAGTCAGAAGCGTGAATATTGATTGTGATAAGAACTGCATTTGCTCAGAAATCAGAGACAATACATACAAAGTAGAGCAGAGGCTTCATCGATAAAAAGAATTATCTTCTTACTAGTTTGCGGCATCTCTTCATTTTCACGATTGGCATCGACAGCGTTCCAGAAATCTATGGCTTGTTGCTAAAGAAATGTCAGAGCATATTTGTATTATGCCTGGAAAGTAAAACAATTACATTACCTGGTCTTTCAACAACGCTTGCTGGTATCTCTCTTGCGGTTCCTTCTTGCAAAATTCTTCTCTTTTCTCATGAAACGTCGAGATGATCGATCGAATCCAGCCCACTGCCTCAACTTCAGCTTCATCTATATTCCTTGCTTCTTTTATGTTTCTTAGCATATCCATACTTCTCGGGGTGGCCGGAGGGTATCCAGTTGAGCCATTTTCGCGAAAACAGACATAAACAAAGGGAAATTCAGCTGCAAGTTCACAGCCTGCCCTTGTCTTTCCATATCCTGATGACTGGATGATAGTTAAGTAATTGAAGTGGTCATCAGTGTCTGCAACTTGACGTATCCGTTGGCATAGTGCACGTAGATAGCCGACAGGATCTCGGAACGAGATGTTAAAGGCCTTCTCAAGTTCACGCGTTTGACTCGACCCTGATGCTTGTTGTACTGGGCCACTGTGAGCTAGGCATAAGTATAAGTTTGGTTAATCGTTGAGCTTGTGATATCTTTGCCTAATCAAACAGAAGACGAGAAATGCAGATAGTAGTACTAGTTATAAATAGCATTTCGAAATGAGTTGTTCCAAGTAAGCATTTCGTGTCGTAACAGCATTCGAATAATTCTCCCTCCATTGCGCCTACTCTACTTAACCCAAATGTATCATATCTTACTTATTTGTCTTTCAAACGAGTTTATGTATAACCTAGCTATGCTACGACTCTGCTTTACGTTCCAACCCAATGCATGTTGTAATCTATTTCAACTATCCTCCCATTAAACGTGTATTCATTGCTTGCTTACCTTGTTACTCTACATATGCCTTAATGATCTCGTCATCCATGGCATTTCTATTCTTCTTTACATATGACCCTAAAAACCAATCAGGAATATCTTCCAAGGTAAGTTGTAGGTCCATATTGTCAAGTTATTCAAAGGAGACAAAAGAACGTGTGCGCGTTTATATCTTGCTGAAAACATCAAATCAAATTGTTCAATTGTTACCCCTGTGATTGATGTTTTAAACCTGCATACTAATACAGAACAGATTTTGGGGGATGACTAGAGTGGAGGCAAATCACGTGAAAATTTTATGGTCAATGCAGATAAAATTCTGATTGATCGAGGGAGATAAAGGTGATTAATATTATATAATGACAAGAAAATTATAAAATATAGTTTTTTTGTTTTGGTTTGGTTGTGATTTTGATTTTGATTTAGTTTTTTTGTAATAATAAGTTTTTTTTATAATTTAACTAGTTTATTTTTTTATAAAGATTAAAAGTATTAATTTTTTTTTCTTAATGTTAGAAAAAAAAATATTTTTTTGCTTTTCAGTTTAGTTATTATATTCATCATCTTTTCAGTTATTATCTTTGCTATGCCTTTGATTATTACCTTTGCTATATTTTCAGTTATTATCTTTACTATATCTTTAGTTATTATAACTTTTTCAATATCAAAGCTCATATCAGATAAAAAATAGTGTTATCTTTTTAATATAAATAGTTTTTTAGAAATTCTAATAGAGAATTTTAATGATAATTGATGGCTATTAATAATAAATATTTGAATGAAATGAAATTCATATGAATATATAAATAGTGATATTCAGAAAATTTTCACTTGCCATTTTACAAAATATCAAAAATTAAGTACTTGACAAAAGAAAAATATTTCAAATAAAAAATATCAAATAACAAGAACATGACTATCTGATCTCTATCTTGTGAAGATTAAAGTTACTTGAATAGTCTCTTTAAAAATAGTTTGAGTAGAATAATATAAAAATATTTCAAATTATACATATTCTTTATTAGAAGTTGATAGAATAAAATAGTTAAAAGTGATTAGAAATTTAGTTAAAATAGAGATAGTTAAAAATTATTCATCTTCAACAATTATAATTACTATTTAAAGAATATGTAATAATAGAATTAGATTTTGATACATGTATATGCAAGTTAATATGTAAAGAAGTGATGAATATTAAATATAAAATTTGTAGACTTATAGAAACTTATCTTATTGAAAATTCAAATTTAAAATTTGATATTTTGGAAGCTATTTCTTATTTAATAAAATAGAAATATCTTATTAAAAATTATCACATTCTTTAATAGTCAACTAAAGGTATCATATTTGTATATTCAGAATAATTAAAGAAACTTAAGCATTATAGATGATTAATACTTATAAATTCAATACATAAAATTAACTGATATGATTGATATTTATTTACTTTTTCTATCTATGATACTTATAGATACTGAAATATGGATACCTACTTTTTTATGAGTAATGAGAATGAAGATATAATTGCAAAAGTATTAATAATAATTCATAATAAATATTATTACTAGTTTTCTCATTATATACTTTTAAATTATAGTAGTATTGAAGCTAAAAGCATTAAAAAAATCTTTTTTGATATAACTGCTAGCAAACAAGAATTCTTTATGTCATTTATATTATGAAAATGTAAATATAAAGAATTTATGAAAAAAAAACTTGGAATATCATGATTATAATAATGTATAAAAAAACAAGAATTCAAATTGCTATTAATTATTATTCTATTTTTGCTATACAAAACTATATTAAAAAAACTATGCAAAAAATATATAGTAATAGGATTTATAGATTGATTAATATTCTTCTCTGCTCTTACAAGTTATAACTATGAATCTATTGAAATTTCTTTATAACTGTAATAATTTTGATTGGGTTATCTTCCTTTAGATCTCTTTTAGTTTAGATCTTTATTTTGCGCTATTTGTATAACAAATTAGCTTTGTATTACA